TCGCCGCTGACAGCTCCCGTCCCGACAAAACCACGGCTCCAGCTCGATGCTTCCTCCTTTCTTACTCAAGGCGGTGTTCCTCCTCGCCGCCGAAGCCGCCGTCCCAACAAAACCAGCGTTCCCGCTCGAGACTGGACTAGCGCCCTACTCTCTTCAGCATCGGCGCCGCGTCCAGCATCAACAGCAGTCCTGCTCGAGACTTCCTCCCTTTTCTATTCAGGGCCAGGTCCTTGCCTCACCGCCGACAGCCCCCATTCCCACCAAGGCAATCCTGTCGTTCGATACTTCCTTGTGCTTTACCCTTTGCTGGGGTTCCACTGGCGTTCTCGCATCGGCGCAGCAAGGCGCGGGCATGTGTGTTCGGGGCGGGATCTGTTGAAATTCCCCGGAGGATGTGTTTGCAAGACCTCATTGGGCGGGAGATCTGGGAATGGGAATAACGGGCCCCGCTATAGAACAAGAGTCCCCCATGATGTGGATGGTTATCATGATGGTCGCATGCTTCGTGTGGAAACATCGCACATGATGGTAAACTGATTGTTGTTGTTGCTGTTGTTGTTTGTTGTCGTCCCCCCCGCGACCTACCCGCGACCCACCCCGCGACCCATCCCTCGACCCATCCCGTGACCCGCCCCGCGACCCACCCCGCGACCCACCAGCGACCCAACCCGCGATCCACCCACGACCCACCCTGCGACCCACCCGCGACCCACCCGCGACCCTCCCCGCGACCTACCCGCGACCCACCCCGCGACCCATCCGCGACCTACCCGCGATCCACCCGCGACCCACTTGCGACCCACCCGCGGCCCATCCCGCGACCCACCCGCGACCCACCCGCGACCCATCCGCGACCCATCCGCGACCGATCCACATTGGTTTGAAGAAAAATCGGCGCCTGCGGCGGGCTCGTTGTATAATTTGTGAAACTTTGGCGCCTGCGGCGGGCTTCTCCAGAATCTTGCAGACTGCCGACGTCCCCACCGCCCCCTCACTCTTATCCGCATCTGCGAGCTGCTACGGTATAGGTGTATGTGTATGTACATATATATATATATATATTGAAAGAGAGAGGGAGAGAGAGAGAGAGAGAGGGAGAGAGAGAGAGAGAGAGAGATAACAAACACACGAGAACGAGGCATAACTCGCAAGAGAGAGAGAGAGGGGGATGGAGAGTAGGGGAGAGAGACAGAGAGAGAGAGAGAGCAAGAGGGAGAGAGTTAGAGAGAGAGAGAGCAAGAGAGAGAGAGAGAAAGGCCTCAGAGAGAGAGAGAGAGAAACGAACAACAACTCAACAAAACGCCAGAACATATTCTGAATGTGCTCTCCAATCGGCTAGCGGCCGCCAGCCGCCGCGGCCCTTGCACCCCCGCGAGCAGCCTGCCTCTCGCAACGAAGCCCGCGCAAGCGCGAGCGCATCGTCGGGGAGGAGGAGGGTCATGAAGGGCACTCGAAAGTTGTAGGGGCGCAAGTTCGATTTGGGAATCTGAGGGGTTCTAACAGATACTTCGGAGCTCTTGGCGAGTGGGTGATGAGGATAAGGAGGAGGATCAGGAGGAGGATAAAGCCTGGGAGGAGACTGTGTAAAGGCGGCCGCCAATTTCGGAGCAGCGGAGGAGACGGAGGACGAGGGACATAGTGAGGTCGGGAATGTCGGGCTTGAGGAGTGTTCTCCCTGAGGGCTGTCACCAAGGTTCTCTGGAGGGCCGAACACGCCACCAAAACCTAGACCCTCCCCTCTCGCACTCCTCCTCCTCCTCCTCCTCTTCCTCCTCCTCCTCCTCCTCCTCCTCCTCCTCCTCCTCCTCCTCCTCCTCCTCCTCCTCCTCCTCCCCCTCAGCTGTTTCCAAGCGTCCAAGTATGTGCTGTGCAGTTAAATCCGACATCTGATCTCAGGAGAGCCGATGTTCGACATGGCCCCTTAACTGTGTTTTGGTCCCCACCTCGTGCGCCGCCTGCTCTGGGGCAGTCGGGGGACCGACCACATGATTCGTGGTTGCTTGTGCAATCCCCAAGCTTTGGGGCAGACGGGACGGTCGGATGATGTGGCGAAGAGTTTCGGCTCTTGTATGCTCGTTGGTACTGTCGATACGTGGGTGCGGACAGGCATGGCGGAAAAACGACGGATGGCAAACGTCTGAGGGCTGCGATGGGGGAGGGGGATCCACAGTCTGGTCTTTCGTTGCTCATTCACCGTGCTCACTTTAGTGATCTCTGTATTCGGTACACCTTGTCTGGGGAGGGTGCTCCTCGTGGTAGGGTTGGCGCAGATCCCCTCAATACACAAACGCAGGGTATGTGTGTCGTTGTGGGTTACATCTTCCAGCTGCCGAACACGGAAGTGGAGAAACAACGAAACAAGAGGTCTGACAATTGGATTGACGAAGTCGTTGCGTCGCTTCCTCATCGCTGCATCCCGGTGCTGCTGTTGGACTCGAATGGGCAACTCAACCTGGACAAGGAACGAGGGAGCCTGTGCCGCAGGCCATCGGCATCGCATAGCCGATTCCTTTTTCAAGAAATCAATTTCCACAGCGCCCTGCTATCCAAAATGTGTGATGAACACCACCTGTCCCTTGTCAACACGCTTGAACCGTGTGGACATTGTTTTTACTCCAGCAAAGGCGGCGCTCCAACCACAGCGGGAGATGCTCTGCAATGTGCTCTCAATCGTTCTTGCAAAGATCACCGACCACTGGTTGCTGATGTGGTGTTTGCTTCTGGGTGCGCGCGCAGGCACTGCCGCAGCGGTGGGACCACGACAAAATCAATTCACGTATTTTCACTGGGGTCGGAAGGGAGGCCTTCATGTCCAACGTCGGATCAAACCTATGCGAAGTGGAGGGTAGCATTCAGGAGGCCGTCCAGTTACCACAACCCGACAAACTGCAACGGACGGTATAAGATGTGGGGTCGACGTGCGCACGGGAGGTATTTGAAGGGGCTAGGCCATGACGGGACGGAAATCACGGAGTGGATACGGAGGAGGTCGAACGTGCCCAGGAGGGGGCCATGAGTGGATACGGAGGAGGGGGAGGAGGAGGAGGAGGAGGAGGAGGAGGAGGAGGAGGAGGAGCGGGGCATGCGGAATAGACAACATAAGAGGTGGGGGGCACGGAGGGCGTTACGACAAGCGACGGAGGAGGAAAGAAAAATTGCACGGGTGCGCAAAGCTACGCGGGAACTCCGCCGACTCAAGCGATTGCGATACACACGACGGGCTGGGGCCTTGATGGCCGAGCTGCAGTAAGCGTGGAGCCGCCGCAACTTGCATCGTGCCTGGCAGGTGTCGCAACAACTCAATGACAAAAGAGTGGGGCCCAAACGACGCAATTGTTGTTCTCTGTCTTCGCCAGCGTTCTCTTCCGCTGAGCTCCTGGCGCATCGCGCGCAATCAGGTTCTGATGGGGGGTTCAGCGCTCACGTGGTTGATGTTGATCACCTGGTGTAGCCCAGGGAAGGAGACACCCGCGCCGCGCAGGTTGATGGCGCGGCCTTGGCATCGGGAGGAGATCTTGCTCGAGTGACATACGAAACGGCACATACGAAGAGCCACCTTGCGAAAACACACAACCGAAATGGGGATTTCCAGTTGGGATTTGGAGGTTGTTGTTGTTGTTGTTGTTGTTGTTGTTGTTGTTGTTGTTGTTGTTGTGTCGCGAACCTCCTCGGGATCACTGGGACTGCTCACCGCTTACAACAGACTATGCTACAGCTGCACGTTCACATGCAAACGTCGTCTGGGACTCCTCTACGTTGGCACAAAACGCATTGTTTACACTTACCGAAGCCCAATCGCAACAAGGGGCTGGCAGGACAACGGGCGGTTCACACAGCGGACTCCTACTCTACCTGGCTGTCTGGGACAGGGGGAACACACATACCACCGAGATTATGCCTGTGGGTATGTGCGACATTGTCGACGGGAGCAGGCCATCGCCACGGTTGCGATTACCCGCGCCTGGCTTACGGCTGACCGACGGTCCCATGCCACTGACTTCCTGGATCTATCCAATACGTTTGCGTGCCCGCGGCACGAGGATCTGGAACCGTTTTCAGCTCGTGCGATTTGCAATCCTGTTGATCACAAGCATGTGCGCCAACGTCTGCAGCACGCGTGCACCTTCATCGACGACTCCACCGCGGGGACCGAGTATGCAAAGTGAGCACCGGCACCCTCCCAGGGCTTTCCATCGCTGTTCCATGGTTCTTGGCACCTTACCACGCGTCTCTGGATAAAATCACGTCCGCCTATCTCGACATGTACGTGTTGTTGGGGTAGACGCGTGTGTGAGGATGTGGGGGAGGAGGGATGCAATGTGGACACTGATTTACAATCTTACGCAGACGACTCCAGCAAATCATACCAGGTGCCAGAGCTTTGGACCTCCGTGGGAAATCGCACGGATATGCCAGGACGTGCACGCGTGTGTTTGCAGCGCGGAATCTGCTGCAAGGATCTGGGACATCTGCGTCGTTGGCTAGGTTTTGTGATGCTCGGGCAGACGAAAACATATCAGTATAATAGGAACCATCTCTGTTGCCAGGGACTAACTTGCATGTTGCACGGTACTTGAGACAACATTTGTCTGCCGGATCTTCCGTGGCTTTCGAACGGGGCAAACGACTCGAGGCGATTCAGTAGGGCTATTGGGCAATGGGTAAATTCTGGGCATGCTCGCCACGCCGACTGTGGAGCAACACAATTTTCCAATGCACGGTGTCTGGGGCCGGGCTCAGTGGCCTGGATGCGCTTGTTCCCTCCAGTACGGACACAAGCGCTTGACAAAGAACTCGTCACCCTTGGCCAGAAGGTCATACGAGGAGCGTTGCGTTGCGCCCGATCGAACAAGTCGGCCCTGTGCAGAGCTCGGGAGAAAGAACAAAAATGCGCCGTCAAAGCTGCACGTCGTCAAACCAACGACGCCGCGGCCGGCCTCTGGCACGATGCGGCCGGCTGTTGTTCAGCGCCGCACATGCAGTAGGGGACCATCCGTGCGCTAGTTTAGGCAGCGACTCAGTAAATGCTTCTTGCGCTTTGATACAACCGAAGACCAATCTGCAATGTAGTGCAGGCGCCTGGCAGATTCGAGCCTCTGCTTCATTCTGCGGCCAGCATCTTCCCACGAATCGCTATCGTCGAACACCCAGCCGACGATTCGCCGGAGCATTTTCCTCTGCGTAATGTCTAGGTGGTCCAGCTCCTTCTGATCCAACGCACAAGTTTCCAGCCCGTATACTAACGTAGGTGTAACGGTCGCGTTGAAGAGCTTCAGACGCAGCTTGACGTTGACGTGCCTATTCGTCAGCGAAGTTAGCAGAGAACGGAATCTCGCACGCGACGGGTCTACGAAATACAGGGTCTGGACTAACGACAGGGTGCGGCGGGAGCTAAGCCTCAACCCATCGAAGTGTCTCTCCGGCAAAGACGCCTCAAAACGTGGCGACGTTTTGTCCGGCATCTAGGCAAGTACAAGTGCTTCAATGTTGCATTTCTTGGAGAATTACCTGGAGATGCCCAACCTACACTCGATGGTAATGGTGAGATGCGCGTTACCGCACACGGATGGGCCTTGCAGTGGGCTCACGATCCCAGGGCCCTTGAATTCGCTTCGGGAAGCCATCGCCTTTCGGAGTGCGCCGACCGACCTTTGCAACTATTTCAATCGCCTGTGTGCCGTGCGGAATTTCTGGAACAGGATGTGGGTATGCTGCCATCGGATGTAGTCTATTTTGAAGGGGTGCCTCGCTCCTCTTCCACCCCGGCTCCACAATTGCAGCAGCAGCAGCCTCATCAAGAGCAGTAGTACAGACCAGAGGAGCAGAGGGCAAATGGCAGGCCAATATTGGAGGAGGACGGGAAGGAAGAATGGAAAACCGACTTACGTGTGATGATGGTGCCGTGCGTCACCGTCGCGTTCGGAGTAAACTGGCGATGCGGATGCATCATATATAATCTCCACTTGGGAGATATCACGACTTCAATACACTTGCTGCGGCGCTGGCCCGTGTCAATCAATGCTTTGCGTGCGGGCCATCCACTCATCCGTCAACTTTACGAGACATCACCTGCGAAGGAGTTCGCATCGAGGGTTCCGCGACACCCGATGGGGGAGAGGTTGTGCAACTTGTCATGAGATCCTTGTTCCTCCTCCTTATTCTTGTCGCATCTGCCATATTGAGTTCGAATCTGCCACTCCTTTGTTGTGGCATCCGGCTTCTCACTTAACGAACCCATGTCACATCGATTTGGGGGAATTCGCAAATGAGTAGCGTGGCAGACGCGGCATGGACAGCCTTCCTGGGCGGAAGTGCCGCCGACACCCCGTGGCAGAAGCGATGCGCCAGCAGCGCTGACAACGTGGACAAGATCTGGGAGCTGCTTCCCATCCTCTTGAAGCTGTGCCTATCTCTAGACGAAGCAAGGAGGTACACATGCTCATGGCAAGCGTGTTCATCTGCTTCCGGGTTGCAACAGATAGCTCGGCAGCGCAGAGAGGCAAGAAGGCATACACAATCCATGCCGACCGCACGCAGGGCAAACGTGGCCAGTGGCCACGATGAGGGCGGCCCAGACCCATGGGCATTCATAACGTTGCTGATTGGGGCAAATACGTTAGAACATCTTGGACAGGGAAACCTCGAGAAGATCCGGACCTTCCTTGCGGCCCACCTGCCGCCCAGTGATCCCAGAGGGGGGCCTGCACGCAACGAAGTCCAAGAGGCCGTCCGGTGTTGCAAGCTGGAGAAGATGTACAACTCCAATCAGGTGAAGATTTTCATTCGTGTGCATCCACAGTACGTTGATTTAGAACATCTCGTGATCAAACACCTCTGGGGCATGAAATGCAAGCAGTACTTCGGCCAGGCCCCCCGAGGAGACCTGGAGAGGAAGGCACAGGACCTCTTCAAGGAGCTCAACCTCGATCTGGGTGACGAGGAGTAGGCGTCAGGTGCGCCTGGTGCCACGGCTGTGCTCGCCACTCCCCTTGGCGTGATTGGCCGGGCACGCTCGGTCAGGGCCGCTCCCTAGGCCTGGGGCCAAAACCTTCAGAAGTTCGGGCAACGACCCGATCGCTCTGGATGGTTCCGGGTGCACGGAGTCCATGCGCAGTTTCGCCGCCGCCGCGCCTCCTCCTCCTCCTCCTCCTCCTCCTCCTCCTCCTCCTCCTCCTCCTCCTCCTCCTCCTCAGAGCAAAGCGAGTTGAGACAGTGGCAGCTCAAAACCAATCCCTGGACCCCTCCCAGGGTCAAAACGCACCATATTGAGCTGCGTCCAGCCACGGCGACGAGGGCCCCCCCGAAAGCCCACCACCGTTGTCTCAACTCGCCCTCCTCGATCTCCTGTTTGCGTCGGACACGTGTTGGCCGCGATCCGAGAAGAGAAAGCTCGGAACGCAGCGCTCGATCAAGCTCAAGGAAGTACGACCAGCGCGTGCACGATAGGAAGTAAGAGGGCGAAGAAACATTGGACAGGAAGTGAAGCCCGCAAGGGCACAGAGCAATGCACGACGGCAAGGATGCCCGGGAACCTCCCTCCTCGATCCTCCTGCTCCTCCTGCTCCTCCTGCTCCTCCTGCTCCTCCTCCTGCTCCTGCTGCTTCTCCTCCTCCTCCTCCTCCTCCTCCTCCTCCTCCTCCTCCTCCTCCTCCTCCTCCTTCCCCCCTCTCGGTCCGCCTCCTCCAACTCGACCCTCCTCCCCCCCCTCCTCGACCCCCCTCCTCGATCCTCCTCCTCCTCCTCGATCCTGATTCTTGCCCCTGGTGCTTTCGCTCGGCCGCACCTCGCCCGTCACAGGCGCCTCCGTGATCCGCTGGCGCGGCAGGCCTGGGCCGCTCGGCCGCCGTGGCTTTCCTTTGTCCTTGCCCTTGCCCTTGCCCCAGGAGTCCTTGCCGCTCCTCCTCCTTCTCCTCCTCCTCCTCCTCCTCCTCCCTCCTCCCTCCTCCCTCCTCCCTCCTCCCTCCTCCCTCCTCCCTCCTACCCTCCTCCCTCCTCCTCCTCCCTCCTCCCTCCTCCCCTCCTCCTCCCTCCTCCCTCCTCCCTCCTCCCCCCTCCCTCGTCCGTCCTCCTTCATCCTTCTCGTCCTCCTCCTTCTCCTCCTCTTCCTCCCACCGAGTCTTCGCATCCTCTGCCTCATCATTATCCAGTGGCTCTCGCTTCACTTACCCAGTCCTTGATCGAGAGAGCTGCTGCGGAAAGCCTCAACTCACTCTGTGTCACCACTCCGCTTCCCCACGAGGTGCGAGTCTCAAGGGCGAAGGGCGTGGTGACGCGAAGACCCCGCGGCCAGAGTCATTATCTGCTGCTGCTGCTGCTGCTGCTGCTGCTGCTGCTGCTGCTCCCCTCTGCTGCTCCCCTCTGCTGCTCCCCTCTGCTGCTCCCCTCTGCTGCTCCCCTCTGCTGCTCCCCTCTGCTGCTCCCCTCTGCTGCTCCCCTCTGCTGCTCC